GGGCCAGCGGACGGGCGAGGCTACTGGTGGCTTAGAAGTCTTTGTGCGGAGGTGTGTTTGGAGGTGTATTTTGGGCATCTGTGGGGGCGTCGAGGCTCTCTTACGCCCCGAAGTCCAGCAGTCCAATTCTTTTCCCTGGGAGAAAAAAACCCACCCACCCCCGAAAAAGAAGACGTCGCCGAGGGTGCCTATTCCCCCCTCCTGCCCCCTCCTCTTGCTTTGAAATGAAGACCGCATCCCCCCCAAACCCCTCCCCGCGCTAATTGAATTAGCCTATTGAGAGGGATGTCAGGTACAATGACGTGCGATCCCCGTGCATTTCACAGGGTCTATAGGCTTTGGGGGACCCGGAATGTATAGTCTGACCTTCGCGCTCATAATCATAATGCCGCATTTGTAAGAGAAATCTATTCGCATTCACTTGCAACAAAAACCTCTGGTCAGCCGGTCCCTGTAGGAAGGACGCAATCTATTGTGTTGCAACAGCTCATTTATGTCCTTCACCAAAGGCCCCAAGGAGATCTGATCTGGCCCCAGAAACAGGATTATCAGCGTGTATATTAAAGAAAGCAATATATATACCCTGCCGGAACGGAAGCGGCTGGGGTAGCAAGAGCCACCCATAGGCGACCCCGGGGAAAAAAAAAAAGGGGGGGGCAGCGTTTACAAGGTCGCCCCGGTTAGCAACGCAGACCGGCCTGCCGCAGGTCGAGGGAAGCCTGCGTGGGAGATCCCGAATCCCGACAGGAATGGGGTTTGGGGGAGCGTGGCAGGGAAACGAGGCCAATTTACCCAAATATCTAATAATACCTGCCTATAAAATACAAGCATATAAACACCCAAATATATGAAGACCTCTCTCCCTCCCTCCCTCCCCCTCCCTCCCTCTCCTCTCTCTCTCTTTCTCTCTCCGTCCCCTTCTCTCTTTCTCTTTCTCTCTCTCTCTCTCCCTCCATCCCTCCCCCTCCCTCCCCTTCTCTCTCTCTCTCCGTCCCCCCTTCTCTCTCCCTCCCTCCCCCTCCCTCCCCCTTCTCTCTCTCTCTCTCTCTTTCTCTTTCTCTCTCTCCCTCCCTCCCTCCCCCTTCTCTCTCTCTCCCTCCCTCCCTCCTTCCCCATACCCCTTCTCTCTCTCTCTTTCTCTCTCCGTCCCCCCTTCTCTCTCTCTCTTTCTCTCTCTCCTCCCAAACTTTAAACTCTGCCAACTTTCAAATATTCGGTCCATGCAAATAACAGCTTTTAAAAAAATATATATTTCGTTTTAAGTGGGGGGGAGGGTATGCTTAAAATAGTTAGAATGATGGTAATGATTGAACTCAATAATAATAATAATAATAATAATAATAATAATAATAATAATAATAATAATAATAATAACTAACAATATCCCCAGAGAGAGAAGCGGAGGAAGAACCCCCCCCCCAAAAAAAAACAGAGAAGAAAAGGATTTTTATTTCCAGGGTGGCGGTTTTTTTGCTTTTCTGACACTTTCTCTCCGGCTTTTTGACGCTCACGGCCGCAGAGACACTCCGACTCTCTCGGCTTCTACTATTATGACTGGAGTGGAAATGATTTGATACCCGAAGAATAGAGGGAGAAGAAGAAGAAGCGGCGGCGGCAGACAGACAGACAGACATGCAAGACAGAGGAGGCCGTCCGAAATGCGAAGCGGCAACTTTGGGCTGCTGTAAGGGTAGCCTTCGTGCTTGAGTAGGTCTGGCTCCTTAGCAAAGGACTCTAACGCGAGGAGAGTGGGAGAGCTGAGATAAAAGTGCCAGAGCCGAAAAGGGAAAGGCCGGGCCCTCTCCCAGCTTGGAGCCTTTTTCTTTTCCCCTTCAGCTGGTCTCCGGCAACAACCTAAAAGCTGCAAAGGCAGAAGTCTCCTTTGAAAAAACGGCAAGGCCCTTTAATTGATCCTCCCCACACGAATCTGATCTATTTCTTTTCGGATAGGAAGAATCACAACCACAAAGGTAAGATAAATCCTTCCTTCCTTCCTTCCTTCCTTCCTTCCTTCCTTCCTTCCTTCCTTTCCCTTTCCCATCCTTTCCTTCACTTCCCCCCTCCCTCCCACCCTCCGTCAACTCTCTGGCTGCTTCAAATTTGGCAATATTTTAATTAATACAACATATAATGCAACCGTACATGAATCTATTTCTTTTTGAAGAATTGCAACCGTTGAGGTGAGAAGCTCCTTCCTTCCTTCCTTCCTTCCTTCCTTCCTTCCTCCCTCCCTCCCTTCCTACCCACCTTCCTTCCTTTCTTCCTTCCTTCCTTCCTTCCCTCCCTCCCTCCTTCCCCTCTTCCTGAATCTCTCTGGCACTCCAATTTTTGGCCCATTTCGGGATGGCGGGTGCGCGCGCGCGCTGGTTTGCGGGTGCCCGCGCGCGCGCGCCCCAGCACCTAATCAAAACTAAGGGCCCGCCAGCGCATTTATCATCCCATTACTGTAACAAATCCGGGCTCCCACTCCATGAAAGGTAAAATGAATTACCGACGTTAAGCCGTCAATAAAGTCATTTCTGTAAATGGTGTCTCCGAAGGACTGCAGCATTATTCAACCAGCTTTATCAGCAGCTGGGAAATTACGTGGAGAGGCGCGCAGCGTGTAATAGGGGCCCTGCTTACTTTGATTAAGCGCTGTGCCAGGGAATAGTGACAGTGCTTTTTGACCAGGTTTTATTCGCCGTCTTCTGATGAACGCCAAGCTGATCAGGCGGAATGAAGAGTAATTAAAACCTATAAATTATCTTTCGCAGTCCTTCTCAAGGCGTCTCTTTGCAGGCGAGATAAGGCGGCGGGCCCCCATTTACGGCTCTGAAAGGGACGGAGGCACACAAAGGCGACGCCGCTAAATGGGATATTGATAGTGTCCTAATTAGAATTTAATTAAGTACCCACGCTCGCTTTTGGGATAAAGATTTCATTTTTTTTTTGTCCTCCTTCCTTCTTTTTTGCGAACTAAAATATAAATAAAGCCCAATTTTGGAAAAGGGAGGGGGGAAACTCAACGAGAGGAATGTGAATGGCCAGATGTTCAACAGTCGTTTAATTTTGGTGTGTGCCTGCGTGATGTGTTGATTCCCTTGTGCCACTTAGTAAAGCAGATCTACAATAGTTGCTTTTAAAGTTGTTGCAAAAACTGGGCCTTCTGGGTGAAAGGCGCGATTTAAAGCTTTCCTGCTTTTTAGCAGACCCGAAAAATGCAATTCATAAGAAACAAGGACGATTCCTTTGACATTTCCAGAAATGCGGCTTGAAAATCCCTCCTTTGGGCGGTTGTGGGGAGTCACACACACGCATCTTATTTGAAACACGGGGCTCTCTCGAAAGGATCCGATTTAGAACCCACCTTTAAAAGAAAAAAAGGAATCGGAGCGAAAGAGAGTCTAACGACCGACCCCACGTGATGCCGAGTGGGGGCTTCGCGTCTCTCCGCTCCTGGGCAGAGGATCGCGGATGGTCGATCCTCAAGTCTTAGAAATCCGAGGAGCACCTGTAACCGTGCCGTGGGCCCAAGAAACCCTCCTCAGTTGCCTTCCACTCAAAAACGACCGCTGGGTGATATTTCACCACCCGGCAGCCTTTCGAAGCATTAAGCGTGCATGGAAGAGAATGAGCACGAGAGAGAGAGAGTAGGCGAACACTCCCGAAAACATTACGAAAAGCACCTATAGTAGCAACCAACCCCAGACCTACGCGGGTCTCTCCGAGCCTTTGGGCAAACGGAGGAGGAGGCCTAGTGTGGACGATTGCTACTAGCCATGACTTTTGTGCAAGTGTAATAAGTATGTTGAGCAAAAACGGCAGGTCCCTCCCGAGTGAAACCAAGCAGCCGACCACCGTTTGATTCTTGCGCTACCGGTTTGGCTAAGAATCCTTTTTTTTTTACATTTTAACCCGACACGACTCGCTTAGCTGCTGCTTCTCCGGCGCATCCAACCTATTCATGTGTGAAAACGGCGTGGGAGAAGAAGTTGCCCTTGTTGCACCACGTCTCAGGAAGAAGGAAAGGGGTCACCGGTGGTCTTCGGACCAGAGAAAGGTGGATGTCCAAAGCTCTGTCAAACCAGCCCAAATACCCTCAGCTCCTACTACTGCTTCTAATTCCAACACGGCAGGAAGGCAAGCTCTTCGCTTAAGGCTCTCCAGGCTGGTGGGAGACACCTGCCCAAAGGAAGGAAGTTAGCTCTGAGCAAATGACGTTTCAAAATCCCAATTTTCCCTTTCAAACCACAGTGCAGCTGGGAAGGGCAGGTTTGGGGGTGCTAAAGCTAGCTGGGAAATTCGTTTGGATTAAAAACTCTTGGATCTCGGGTTTCTCAAGCATATTCATTTCAAATATGGGATACATACATCCGGCACGCAGACTCAAAGCAACAAAGAGAGGTGCGGTAGAAATGGGGACCCTTCCCCCCCCATTGCTAACCATTCTCAGCAAAACGTATATATTTTTTTCCTTTTGATTTGATTCAGAAAAACCATCTATAAAGCAATCCAAATCCTTTCCTTTCGGCATGTTACATTTTATGAATGGAAAACCAGGAATGATTTAAAAAAATAAATAAAAATAAATCACAAATTCCTTTCCCCGGGGTTTAGAACTGACTCTAGAGAGAGGCCAAAAGAAAAAGAGAGAGAGAGAGAGAGAGAAAGAAATACACACACACACACACAAAGGTCTTAATGGAAGTGGGAAAAGTTTTCGGTAGCGTTTATTTCATATTTGGTTTCTGAGAGTTATGACTGGCTGGAAAAAAAATCCTCGGCTGGAGCGACGCAGGAACGAGAAGCGCGGTCTAGGAGAGGATGCGCCAAGCAACGCGTAAATCTCTCGCTCCCTTTGAATTAGCCAGCCCCTTGGATAATGTATCTGCAAAGTTCGAATGCAGCCCATTGGCTGACGTCAGGGGCGTCACAGAATTGTGGAGCCTCTCATTGGCTCTTTCCACGTGCGGGCCATCCTCACGTGCTTCCGGTTGGAATGAAAAAAGTGTGGTTGAGAGATTTTTTAGGGAGAGTTTGTTGCAAGATCGGAGCTGTCAGAGATTTTGCTTTTTTTTTTCTCCTTTTTCCCCCTTTTTCTTTCTTTTCTTTTTTTCTTTTGCTTTTTTTTTTTTTTTTTAAAAAGGAACGTGGAGGAAAAAGAGGGGAAGAAAGGTGGGAGAAAAAGATGCACGTGCGAGTGGGCGATTAAAGCATCCTGCCAAGAACCGATCCATGGGCAAAGCTGACTCTGACACTTGGGGAACCCCAACGCTGCGCCGTTTGGAGAAAGATGGGTAGACTGTGAGGACTTCGGGGGAGGGGGCGGAGTTTGGGGGGGCTGGTTTTGTTTTGATCTCTCTCTCTCTCTTCTCTCTCTCTCTTTTCCGAGAGGGGGGGAATGAGTGAGAGAGGGAGAGAGAGAGGGAGAGAGGCTGAGACTGGAAATATAAGATAACTGCAAAAAAAGCGAATCCGTCCAAATGCCCGAATCTTTGGATATCTCTCTCTACTAGATTCCCGCTCTAAAACCAACAAGTGGATTTTATTGTGCGTTTCCCACCGACCCGCCCCCCTTTTCCTCTTAACAAAATTCTCAGAATCAGAATCCCTCCACCTCCTGGACTGGCGAGGTGGGGGAATCCGGAAAGTGGTGGGGGGCAAAGAGAAGACGGCGATCTCCGGAGCTGGCGACCGACTATGGAAGAGCAGGCGGACGCTAAAAGCCAGCGCGATTCGGCTCCGACTCCAGTCAGCGGGAGCAGCGGCAGCGGGAGCGATGGCGAGAGCGTCCCGGTGTCTCCCAGCGGCCACCCTCCCTTGTCTCCCGCCGCGCCTTGCCTCGTGCCTCTGCCCCACCACCCGCACCACCATCACCACCGCGGCCACCACCAGCACCAGCACCAGCACCAGCCGCCTCCGCCCCCCCAACAGCAGCAGCAGCCGAGGCCGCCACCGCCGCCGCCGCCGCCACCGCCGCCGCAGCATCGCACCACCAACTTTTTCATCGACAACATCCTGAGGCCGGACTTTGGCTGCAAGAAAGAGCACCTCTTGATCCTGGCCGGCGGCCCTGCGGCGTCCGGAGGAGGAGGAGGAGGGGGAGGAGGGGGAGGCAGCGGAGGCGGCGGAGGCGGCGGCGGCGGCAGCGGCCGGGACAGAGACCTAGATCGCGCGGCCAGCTCAGGTAGAGAAAATGTCAGCCCACTGCTCGGCAGGCCCCTCAACCCGGCCTCCACTCTCCTTAGCGCCGACTCGCCCGGGAACCCCGACAGCTCCTCCACGACCTCCAAAGCGAGCCCGGCCGCGGCAGCAGCGGTAGGGACGGCCAAGCCCCTCTCCACTACCTCCTCCTCCACCTCCTCCACCTCTTCCACCTCCTCCTCCTCTTCCTCCTCCTCCTCCTCCTGCTCGGAAGGGAGTGGAACTAACCCGGCGAAGTACGGGGAGCACGCCAACCCGGCCATCCTCCTCGTGGGCTCCGGGAATGGAGGAGTGGGGGCCTCCGGCGAGGGTCAACAGCCGCTGGTTTGGCCGGCCTGGGTTTACTGCACTAGGTATTCAGACAGACCGTCCTCGGGTAAGAATCCTCTTGAGAACCCAACCCCCCCACCCCCCACCCCGTCCCCTTCCTTCCCTCCCCCTCCCTCTCTCTCCTCTCGGGTGGTTGTTGGTTCGGCTAAGCATGTCAGCTCCCCTTGCGCTCCACTCCCTTCCCCCCACCCCCACCCCCGACCCGAACGATCAGCCTGTGACCTTCCTGTCCCTCTTCCGCCTCGGGATCCAAATCTGGGGCCGGGGGCGGGGACTTGCTGCGGGACCCAGCAAGTCCCCATGGGGTCCTTGTCCCAAGGTTGTCCCGCTCAGGGGCTCCGCTGACACTCTGGCTGGGTTAGGAGCTCCGCTTTGCCCGCGCTTATGCCGGAAAGTTGGGTTGTTTCCAAAGAAACGGAGCGAAGATCGGTTCTCCGAGCAATTCTTTGGAAGTCCAGTCGCCGGGGAGGCGGGCAGAGAGGCGGAGGTTGTAGGTTGATTGTTTTATCTTCAGGACTGGATCATCTTGTCCCTCGACTCTCCCCTCCCCCCCCCAACAACTGCAATTTTAAGATCCTTTATTCTCTAGAACGAAGAAGCCCTTTCCCTTAAGAACAGCCTCGGTCCTAAACGCAAAAACACCCGAATGGTGGAGAATCCAGCGGCCTCTCACCCAAGCGGGCAAAGGCGTTTAGAATCGGGCTGGCAAAAAGAAGAGGCCATTCATTCCCTGCACCCTGATTCATTTTGCATCGGTGGCTCTTTCCTCAAGAAAAGGCTTGAGCAAATAAATCTCTTTCCTTCGTTTTATAGTTACGGATGCGTAAAGGTCAAGGGGAGGTTTTGAATTTTGGAGAGCCAAGTCCGGGCTGGTATAGAATTCGTGGAGGCGTGTTGGGCGACGAATTGTTTCTTCCGCGAGGAGAGGGGGATGGATGACGGTCGCCATTAGTTTGGGGGCTAATGCGGAATGGTGGGTTGAATGAGAGAACACCTGCCCTTTTCAGCGGGTTGGATGTTTGGAAGGTGGAGGCAGGCGGAAAGAATAGAAGAGCAGAAGGTTAGGCGGCCGTGCGGGGCGCGAAGGGAAAGTGTGTGTGTGGGGGGGGGGGGGGGGGGAATGCTCGGTGCAAGGAAGGCCTCGCGTGGCGGAGACCAAAATTCAGGCCCCAGGCCTTGGCTTCGGGGACTTTTCTTCACAATGAGTCATTTAATGTGGCTTGGCCACCTTCTTCCGCCAGCTGCAGGAATGGCACCCCATTTGTTCCCCGAACTAAAAGGCTGGCGGGTGGAGAGAGAGAGAGCGAGAGCTTTCCTCGATTCCCTTCCCAGAGCAAGGGAGGAAGACCCAAGCCGAGACCGGGGGGAAAGCCTTCTAGCGGCGGCTTCCCTCGGCGCTCCCCAGCCAGCTCCTTTCCGCAGGGCGATTGATCAATCCGCCGCTATCAGCTTCAGCCATCGCGACCGCGCGGCTATTGACACCTCCCCGCGCCTTGGAAAGGCAGAAAAGCCACCGTGATTGACTAAACGGGTTGATTGAGTGATTGAGCTGTCAGGGCTATCGTCCGCGCCCAGGCCCCAGGATTTCTCGCCCTCCTTTCCCAGCGCCCAGCGCCTCTGCCCTGGCTAAGATCGGGCTCTTTTAAAGACGTTGGCTCCGTAAAGCACAGGCTCAAGCGGTTAGGCCAACCTGTTGACACACTTGACTTCTTGGAGAGGTTTGGGGGCGAGGGTTAATTTTTTTCAACATCCATCTTTCTTTCTTTCTTTCTTTCTTTCTTTCTTTCTTTCTTTCTTTCTTTCTCGGTGGGAAGGCGAAAGCGGTGTCCTCTAAGCAGGTGTCGGTTTAGTTCCCCCAGCTGCCCTCTTTAGAGACCAGGCCGAACTAGGGACAGAGGCTGTTTTGCAGGTCAACTGGGCAGGATCTGACCTTCGACTTTGACTAACTAGTCCAACACAATACGCCCAGCAGCTTTGGGTTTGTGTTTGGAGACGGGGAGGACAGTTCTCTGAAAAATACCGATCTGAAATCTGCGGTTATTCTTGGGGTTTATTTTTAATTGAAGGGGGAAAAGAGGAAAACATCTGGATTTTGCCTTCCGGAGGTTATACCCCTACGTGAACACACGCATGTACATCAGCATTACTTTTTTTATCTAGCCAAGCTCGAAATAAGACAAGAGTTGTAACTTTGAGGCCTACTGCATCCTGGAGAGTTTCCATCTGGGACTTTTTCTTCCAACCTTAAGAAGAAAAAGAAATCTCACTTGAAACTTAGCGAGGAAATCGAAAAGCAATGAATTTCCCTTTTATGCTATAAAAGACCTTCGCTCCAAACACACCCACGCCCACACCCACGAAGGAAATATTTTTTTTCATTCTTTTTTTTTTAAAGAAAAGAAATATCATTGCAATATTTATTATGACTTTGGGGAATAATAGATAAAAACGTACTTTAACGCGTTTTTTTTTTTAAATGTCTAAACAATGTTTAGCTATTTTTAGCTATTTTTTTTTTCCTCCCGCGAAGCAAAATAAGGGTTTTGGAAATGATATTATGCCCTCTTGCCTGGAGAGTTTAACAAACTAAACCAACATATTTTAAATGACCGCCTTTTCCTGAATAAAAATTCAAGTCCCCTACATAACTATGGGGAGGCGGTTAGAATAGAACGAGGGGACAAATCTAGAACAGTTTGCTCGGCTATCGGGATCCACACAGATAGGGGTTTGGTTCTATTTTCATCCTTTTATAGGCAGTTAGGACTGCATGACTCTTGACTGGTTTTCTGGGTTGTTGAAAAGAAACTTAACTTTCAGGAAAAGAGAAACTTCCAAGTGGAATTTTAAAATATATATTAAAAAAAATCTCAGATTTGCCAAATCTGCTACAAATAAAAAAGACCCTCTTCCTTCCCCAATTTCCCAGCCTTTTTATTCTTGTAGCTAAAAATATACCATCAGCGGGTGTGTGTGTGTGTGCACGCTCGTGTGTATGTAGGCTTCCCCAGTTTGGTGCAGTTTCAATGTGTTCTTATGTAGACACAATTTGGGGTGGGTGGGTCGATATTGAGGAGAAACCCCCAGCAGGGCTCAGAGAAATGCTTGGAATGAAACAGTGGGTGATGGGGAAGAACTGAAGTAGAACTGGGGTTCTCAATCAGGATGGCTTTGTCTCAATCTTCTCTGTTGAAAATTCAATTCCTAAATTTTTAAGACATTTTCTTGCCTGTTTGTTGGCTTCATGTTTGTTCTCCCCCTCTGGGTCAAACAGATCCCTAATCCCAAAGAGGTGACTTCTGTTTTCAGGCTGCGGCAGGCACCTGAGGGGCAACGGTTGTCGTCTATCCCTATTTGGATAGCTTTTCTCTTCTTCTCTTCTCTTCTCTTCTCTTCTCTTCTCTTCTCTTCTCTTCTCTTCTCTTCTCTTCTCTTCTCTTCTCTTCTCTTCTCTTTTTCTTCTCCTACGACCAAAAAACCAAAAATCGCTTTATCCAAGTTCTTGCCGAATTAAATTTGGGATTTCCTCAGCATTCATTTCGAGCCTTCCAATTTTCAAACCTGGCCTTATTTTATTTTATTTTATTTTTTTGCGTCTGCCGAAAAGAGGGATGACGTCGAAACCTTCCCCCGTTTCATTTTAACCCCTGAAATTCTGGAAGGGCTGCTTATCTGATCAGAGGTCTCTGGGGAGGGGGTGTTGAGGGGGAAGGAAGGGAGACACCTAGGAATCCCCTCCGAATGGGAGCCGTACCAGAGAGAAAACGCCGCCTGTAACCTAACCTCTTTTCCAAGACTGTTTTTCCGCGTTTTTTCCCCTCTGTAAGAATGATTCTAACAGTGCAACTAATCAATCGGTGGGGTCGCCCCTTTTCTCTCCCCCCACCCTTCTACAATCAGTTTCATATCGTGGCTTTTAAAGAGGAGATTTGAAGGTGGTGAAGGGAAAGAAAAGGCCGACCGTCCGATGCCAACTCGGCCTACATGCGCCTTGTCCAGGCAATTTCAGGAAAATGTAAGCCAGGTCTTCATCCGCGCATCAGGTCTTTGGCTCTCATCAGCTACCGAAAAAGCGATGAGAAGCGATCAGACCACAAGCGTTTTAGAGACCGCTGAATTAGGCCAGCTGGGGAACAGTCTGGCATGGGCACTGCATTTCCCGGCCAAAATACCCTCCGGTTTAAGCCTTTTCTTTGTCCTTTCTCTCTCTTTCTCTCCCTGTTTCTCTCTCCCTTCTCTCTCTTTCTCTCTCTTTCTCTCCCTCTTCCTTCTCTCTCTCTCTCTCTCTCTCTCTCTCTCCCCCTCTTTCTCTCTCCCTTCTCTCTCTCTCTCTTTCTCTCCCTCTTTCTCTCTCCCTTCTCTCTCCTCTTTCTCTCCCTCTTTCTCTCTCCCTTCTCCTCTCTCTCTCTTTCTCTCCCTCTTTCTCTCTCCCTTCTCTCTCTCTGTCTCTCCCTCTTTCTGTCCCTCTCTCCCTCCTTCTCTCTCTCTTTCTCTCTCTCCCCCTCCCCCGCCCCCCCCCCCCCCCCCCGCTGGCGCTTTCTCTTTCGCGGCACCTCCGGCTTTGGCGAGTGTGTATGTGTGCTGTTGAGGTATCTTTGATTTTTTACGGGGAGAAGGGAGCCGAGGGAGAAGGCAGGCCACCTTCGATCAGCGGTAGTGGTGGAGGACGGCGGCGGGGAAGGGGAAGCCGCGGCTTTCCAAGCTCAGCAGTGGGAGGAGGAGAGGAAGAATTGCAAGGGAAAACAGTCGGCCCCCGACTTCCCTTCCCCCATCCTCCGCGGCCCTGTTTAGGGTTGCCGGCTGTCCCTTTTACGAAGGGACACGTCGCTTCTTTTCCACCAGAGCCCCTTATCCTCCTGGATGCGACCCCTGGCCCAAAACCCGCCCTCAGGTGCGCTCGGACGCTTTTGGTTTTTTTTTTGTGGCCTGTTTCTGACCCAGCTCCGTTGTGTCCTTCCCGGCTCTCTCCTGCCCCGTCCCCGGCTTCCCCTTTCGTGTGCGTGCCTGTCTTTTCTCCCTTCCCTTCCCTCCCTCCGACCTCCTCCTCCTCCTCCTCCCCGCTGTAGGTCCCCGAACGAGGAAGCTGAAGAAGAAGAAGAACGAGAAGGAGGACAAGCGGCCGCGCACGGCCTTCACCGCCGAGCAGCTGCAGAGACTCAAGGCGGAGTTCCAGGCCAACCGCTACATCACCGAGCAGCGGCGGCAGACGTTGGCCCAGGAGCTGAGCCTCAACGAGTCCCAGATCAAGATCTGGTTCCAGAACAAGCGGGCCAAGATCAAGAAAGCCACCGGCATCAAGAACGGCCTGGCCCTTCACCTCATGGCCCAAGGACTGTACAATCATTCCACCACCACCGTGCAGGACAAAGAGGACAGCGAGTGAGGCCGGACCGACCCGGCTGTCCCCGCGGACTGCCCAGCCGCCCCCCCCGGTCCCCTCCGTCCCCCCACCTCCTTTTCGTTTCATTCGCTTTCATTCTTCCTAAGATTATTATTATTATTATTATAATTATTATTATTATTAAAATATTATTATTATTATTATTACGGACCTGAGTGACAGGGAAGACAAAGAAGCCCGCTTTGGCGAAGCTAAGCGAAAACAAAACCCGGCAAGGACAGCGAGGCCGGCGCGGGGACTCGGACGTGGGGTTCTGTTTTCCAGAAAACGAATCAAATTTATGGTTGATTATTATTATTATCCGCAGTTTTGAGGATTCCAACATTAAATTCCGAACACTTTAAAAAAAAAAAAGTCTATATAGCCAAACATCGTATGATCTTGTATATATTTAATTTCAGGTAAGAAAATCAATTATGAAAAAAAAGTGTAGTTTTTTTTGTTTTTTGTTTTTTTAAAAAATATTTTTTTCCTTTTCGCTCAGCCATTGAGCGCTCCCCTCTCGCGTCTCCCCAAAGCTGTTGGGTCTTTATTTTTCTTATTTGTTTCCTTAATTATTAATCTCCCTTCTTCCCCGCAGCCTCAAGTCCTGTCAGCATCTTAGTTTTGAAGTGTTTGTCTGGCTCCTCTCCCTCCCCCCCTTTTGTTTTTCTGCCTCCCTTCCCCGCGTTCTCGTGTGTGCCTCGGCCGATCTTGAGTTTGTGTGTGTGCGCGTCCCTTCCCGAGGAACACCGGTGAGCCCTCCACAGACTGCCAGACTGAACCCTTGCTGCAAGCCAAAGATTTTTTTCTGTAGTCTGAAATAAAACGTAGATTGTGTTCAGGATGTTATGTCGGTTCTGTAATCCTTTCTCTGTAATCTTCCCCCAGCCCTCCTCCCATATATATATATATTGCAATGCTATATATATACACATACACAAACACACACACACGTATACATACATACATACATACATACATACATACATACATGGAAACACCCCACACTACTTATTCTATATACATATATATTTTTCCTCTCGGTCTACTTGGTAAATATTTCTTCTTTTAAAAAGAGGCAATCAATATTTCATTAAAACTCTTGTTTTCTTTGCTTTATTCGCTCTCATCTCTCCCCCCCCCAATTTTCCTTCTGGGGAAAACCGAACATGCTAATAGGCAAATAGTTTGCTTCTTCAGATGGAGGTTTGGAACTAAATCTTATTGAGAGCAAGGAACTTCCTCCCCCACCACTTCCCCGTGCCCCCACCCCCAAATGTGCATAGGGAGACATAGGAGCCAACCTCTCAGCCCCCACTCCTCTTCCTCCTCTTCCTCTTCAGGATTCGTAAACCTAAATTCATTTGTTTTCAGTGGAACTCGAATTGGCCAGGATTAAGTTTATGTACAATTGAGGTCAAGAATTAGTCTTTACAGGTCTCAGGGGTTGCAATGTTATATGGAAACCAGCGTGTGTATGTGTGTGTGGGGGGTGCACTAATAACGACACAAATTTTATGGCTCTTTCCAGTTCTAGAAAGGGTTAGAAAGAAAATTTGTCTGAGAGCTTCCTGCCTTGTATCCGAGATCGTATTGAATTTCTACTGAGGTGCCTTTGGCCAGGAAGGAGGAGAGAGCTGTGTGTGTGTGTGTGTGTGTGTGTGTGTGTGTGTGTGTGTGTAGGAGAGAGAGTGAGAGAGAGGGAGTGGGTGAGTGAGTGAGTGAACAAGAGAATGGGAATGATCAGTACTTTGCAGACAGTTGCTTAGCAGCACAGCATAATGAATGGAGTGGCGAGGGGTAGAGATTGTTTTCCTTCCTTGGCCTTCTTAAAGCAGCCGGAGCGGTGACGATGGTCCTGATGATGAGGACAACTATTACTATTAGAATCTTTTATTCCTCTCTTCATTTCTTCCGTTTTCACTTGAGGGGCGAATGCTCCGGTGAATAAAACCTGGTCCTCCAATAGTCCCGGCCTGATTATAGAACAAAAATGCTGTTTAATTTACTTGGGAGACCTCACCATCCTGGGAGTTCAGGATTAATGGAGTGACTCTTCCCTGAAATTGCTCAGTGTCTTAGAAACATGTAGGCTTCCTTTAAAAACTAAAATCCATTTTTCTTTCCTTCCTTCCTTCCTTCCTTCCTTCCTTCCTTCCTTCCTTCCTTCCCTTCCTTCCTTCCTTCCTCCCTCCCTCCCTCCCTCCCTCCCTCCTTTCCTTCCTTCCTTCCTTCCTTCCTTCCTTCCTTCCTTCCTTCCTTCCTGAAATGTGCAGCAGCACTTAATGTTCCAGTTAGAACACCTTCCATGTTCTAACTGGAAGGTGTTCTAACGGGAACATTAAGTGCTGCTGCACATCTGTATGCCCTCTGTCACGTGTGTGTAGGACTGGGGAAAGGCTTGTGTAGGACTTAGAAAAGGCCATCGGCAGCCAATATAAATAATATCAAGCCAGATAGATCAATGGATCCATTCTAGGCAAGGTAGCAGTCCAGCATTCTTGTTTCAGCTGAGTCCAAGGATTCTGCAATCCTTTCATTTCCCTGGAAATTAAACTCCTGATTTTACTGGGGTTTGCTTTAAAACAAATATGGCTGCATCCGGTGACCATTTTTCCAAATTGATTCTTGCTCTTTTTAGGAAGGGGGTGGGGGTAATAGAGGCAAACCAGAAGTGAGATTAACCATAGCCATCCCCTCTTGCTTGATGCATGTATGTACTTATTTTATTTTATTTTTAAAAAAATCTGATTAAGATAGAATTCTACTTCATTACTAAAACCAACCACTCAGTGCGGATCCTTTACCCGAATTATAGAAAATGTAAAAGAATAAATTAGAGAGGGGCAAGAAAGGAAAGGCCGCTGCTTTCAATGGGATTGTTGGCTTACTTTTTCCCTATTGAAATCGAAAGTTTCAATGGAGGAAGCTTAAAAGAAACGTCTTTGGGTCGTGCAGAAATCTGAGTTGTCAAGGATAAGTCTATATTGTTGTTCGGTGTAACTTGGTTCAGCTGAAATCCCTGAAATCAGGATGCGCCCTATCTTCGAAAAAAAAAAAAAGGAGATTGTGACGCTGTTCTAGTCAGGTACCTTGTCGCATCCTAGATGAAATTCTTAGCTGTCTGGAAAGCCGGTTTAGGATTTCGGCCTGTGTTCGTGAATCTGCTTTGGTGTACTTTGGCTTACAGATCCACTCACTGCTGTGAAGGAATAACCCAGCCTAGTGGTTAAAAACCTGGGGAAAGTGGGTTTTCCTCTCGGGAAGTATACATTTCCCGATCGTTTTAACCCCACCCGCCAAATCTCTGCTGCCCTTCGTTAATTGAAAGTGCCAGAGCACTTCCAACAAAGCCCTACAGATTGTAAAGCCCTTGTAAAGTATAAGTGCGGATCATTTTATGCACCTACTCTGGAGCGATCCCATGTCAAGCGATCCTAACAGTGAAATTAACTATCTAGAAACCATTAATAATAATAATAAAAACAACCCAGACTGTATAGTGCCATTATTAGGGAAAAAAACCAAACAACAACAACAACAACAACAACAACAAAAACCCAAACCAATTCAACACTCCCCCATCTCCCTAAAACCGAACCAAACCTCGGAGCCGAGGCTGCAAAGGAACCTTTAGAAATAGTCAGTAATTGATGACCTTATAAAATCTCCTGCTAATGGAACCAACCATGTAGTCCTTGGAATTATGATCTCGGTTTTTTTTTTTAAATATAGTGTGTTTCTCCCACACACAAAGTGGCCTGCAAGCCTCTGTCTTGAGCCAATTTATCTTCCAGAGGTAACCCTGCGAAGTAGGATAGAGGCTTGTTATTGGTCTAAAAAGTCAGGTATATTTATGACTCACAGGTGGGGGATTTAGCGCCACTTTCCCCAGACCCTCTAAAATACTCCCACTCACCCCCAGGCCAATGTCCAGTGGATTTTCATTTCAAGAATCTCTGGATACAAGATGGGGGGGGATACATTTTATAAATAAATAAATATAGTATGAAAAACTACAGCACTTGCCCCGCGCAAAACTCTCCTATGGTCTGATCCACTGGAATTAAAACGGGGGTTTCTAAACGCCCTGGAAACAATACAAATGCACTCCCTTCTATAAACGTGCAACCAGCCACCCATCGGATTGCCTAAAAGTCTCTTTTTCTGGGTTTCTTTTAAACCAGGACCCTTTTTGGGGGGGCACCTATTTAATTTTGAGTGGGGTTTCCAGTTTTCCTATTGCCACATCATCATAGGAGAGGGAAAAAAATCTAGCCCTGTGTAATCCAAAGTAACCCTCTCGTGCCCCTTCAGGTGTCTCTCTTTAGATCTCATCCTAATGAAAGCAGTAGGATTTATTCCAGATTGAACATCATCGGCTCATCTGCTGGCGCTGGTCTCCTTCCTCCCATTTTACCGGACACTTTTATCAAGAGAGAAGTAAGACGAGGCGAATAATGTGCATTCCTCAGGGCTCCTTGGTGCTCCTCTGAGCTTGCTTCTTTTCTTGCAGACGTTTCATGACCCAAAGTAGGTAACATCACCAGTGCCAGTGAGTAGTGACTAGCACTGATGATGTTACCCTAGTTTGGATCACGAAGCGTCCGCAAGAAAACAGGCAAGCTCAGAGAAGCACCAAGTCAGGTCAACCTTGAGCTACACATATTCTCCAATATGCATTCCGATGTGTGTGTGTGTGTGTGTGTGTGTGTGTGTGTGTGTGTGTATCTACAAACAGGGCGAGGAAATGGTTCTAAATAAGTGATATTGAAGCTCTTAGGCTTCAACTTCCAGACTGGATCTAAATAGCGAGCCCAGAGATTTCAGCGAGGTTTCCAAAAGATCTCTTACTCTGTCGCCACAAAAAGTGGAAAGTCGGACCCTTCGAATCAAGGCTTTTCGGACTGTGCTCCAAATGTTTTAGTCCCACTAAAAGAAGGGACTCGGCCGCCATAATGTAGGTCCCCTTTTCCTCGGACAAAGAGGAAATTAATTAAGCTCTGGACTTCCGACATTATCGATTGGTGGCAAATAATAGAATACAAATCTTAATTTCTCTCCGGGCCGCTGCTCGGTGCCGGCTGACATTGTGCACACTTCCCACTGCATGAGAGAGAGAGAGAGAGAGAGAGAGAGAGAGGGAGGAAAAAAAACCTGATTTTTTTTCCTTGTTGTTGGTGCTTTTTGCTTAAGTAGAGATGGACTAACGCTCTGCTCCTGAAAGCAAGGCAGGTGCTGTAATTATGTCTCTCCTTTTTTTTTCTTTTTTGGCAGGGATATTTATAGAAGTTAAGCCCCTCCCACCTCCTCTTTTATTTGCTGAACCCGAAAGCAGAAAGAGAAAAATAATTGTTGTCGTTTTGATTTTGGAGAAATCCTTTTTCTTGTCTTTGGGCCTCTGAAACACCCTTGCAAATCCAGCTCCCCTTTTCTTTTTTGTCTTCTGATTGGCCCCTTCCCGGTACAAGAAAATTCCCTTCTCAAGTCCGGTCACAAATTCATCTAAAAACATAGCACATATTTGCAGAGGACTATTTGTGTAAGGTTCAATTTGTGTATATCCCTATTGCTGTGGAGAGTGGATAGAAAAAATGCTCCTTTAATTAAATGAAAACAGGGACATCGTGGTACACATCCACATTTAAGTCAAT